CTGGTCATCCTTCTGGTCATCCTGCTGGCCATCCTTCTGGTCATCCTGCTGGCCATCCTTCTGGCCATCCTTCTGGTCATCCTGCTGGCCATCCTGCTGGTCATCCTGCTGGATGTCCTGCTGGCCATCCTTCTGGCCATCCTTCTGGCCATCCTTCTGGCCATCCTGGCCATCCTTCTGGCCATCCTGCTGGTCATCCTGCTGGATGTCCTTCTGGCCATCCTGCTGGATGTCCTTCTGGTCATCCTTCTGGCCATCCTTCTGGCCATCCTTCTGGTCATCCTTCTGGTCATCCTGGCTATCCTTCTGGCCATCCTTCTGGCCATCCTTCTGGTCATCCTTCTGGCCATCCTTCTGGTCATCCTTCTGGTCATCCTGCTGGTCATCCTGCTGGTCATCCTTCTGGTCATCCTTCTGGTCATCCTTCTGGCCATCCTGCTGGTCATCCTTCTGGCCATCCTTCTGGCCATCCTTCTGGTCATCCTTCTGGCCATCCTTCTGGTCATCCTTCTGGTCATCCTTCTGGCCATCCTTCTGGTCATCCTGCTGGTCATCCTTCTGGCCATCCTGCTGGTCATCCTTCTGGTCATCCTGCTGGTCATGAAGAAGAAGAAAAAGGACAGGACAGGCCCAAATCCCAAATCCATCTTCAACCCTCTGACCCCCATGTACAAAACCCAAACCCCCTGTACCGCACTCAAAAATTCTTCCCTTTACTTTGTGACTACTTCTGCTATAATATTTATTTATAATTTTGTGACTTCTTGTTCTTCCTGCAAGGCTGGTAAATCGTTGTATGGTTCAAATCTAAAATCACAGCTGCTTCCAGCTGCCTGCCAGGGTCTCAAATGCTTCTGAGCTGGGCCCGGAACATCCAAAAATGTCCGAAATGAGGGACATGTTGAGTTCTGAGACTCGTGCAGGACGTCGGTGTGAACGTAGGGGACCTTCTGCTGTAGAGGTCAAACCCGTGTCTCAGCCGAGCTCAGCACTGACCCCTTTGTTTTTGAT